TGTTTGTACACCGAAGGTCGTGCTCTCGTGGGGAGTGACTGATTCTCTTTGGCGCATTAAAGAATACCTCTCAATTCCTGCCACAAATTATTTAAAGCACTAATAAGCAAGGTGGGCCAATTCAACGGTCGCTTTTCTTCGGCAATTACTCCAGCCCTGCCCACAGCAATGACCTTTCGCTCAGAGAAACCACCCAGCCTAGCAGATCTGACCTGGATTCGATCTTCTGAAAGCAGAGGACTGTGAGAAGTTGCAGTGTGAAAGTAAAAGCTTGGTGCAAAATCACTGATCTAAAGTTTGCTTCTTTAGCATTGCACTGGAGTTACAAGGCTAATGTAGTTAACTCCATCCACCTCATTCAAAAAGTTGTTGTTGATACTTAGGCCCAATCCCATTTCACCCCTTGCCCCTACCACTTAGCCCTGGCCCGTTTCGCGTGTTCACGTCTAGGGGGTAGGGTGTCCCGATTTTTGTGGAGATAGAGGGGTAGGGCAAAGTGTTAGAGCTACCTCCTCAAAACGGAGGTTTTTCAGAGGCACACTTCAAACTGAGTGTTATAAAGAAAAATTGGCTAGATGGCTGAGCGAGCGACCACAGAAACCCACAAATGTGAGACTTTTCTCTGTTAAAAATTTCAATAACCACTGTATTGTCTTAGTTTAATGTCGTTTCAATGTATTATGGTCGTTTTCTTCATCGTAAGCAGAAAAATCACTAATAGTATGCTAATGTCTCAGCAGCTAGCTAGCTAATTTTCCCGTTCCACCTTAAATATTCCAGCAGTTTTGAAGCCTGAAGCGCCAGAATGTAATGTTAAGGTGGAACGGGAAAATTCGAACAAGAAGCTGGCGAATATCTGACTTCAGCTTCATATCACTGAAGAATTAGGGGTGGGTGATAATAAATAATTGCCCCCCTCTTTGATGGCATATGATGCCCTAAATGTAACTAAAGCCCAGCAGTGAGGAGCTGAACTTTACCCTCCTCTGCTGTCACTGAAGACAGGCAGGGTCGCCTACAGAGCAGCGCTAGTAGCTGTTAATGAAGTAATGCTCTTTTTGATTTAAGGGTCCCATTTCATAGGGGAAGATTTCAACCACTACCCGTTGGAACCCCAAGATGCAAGGTGACACTCAAAAACAAGAGGTAGGGGTAAAAATAAGAAATGGGATTGAGCCTTAGTAGCTTCCAAATGAAGACAAAAACAGTTCAAGCTCAAATAAACAAACATTAATTGCTACTGCCCTCCAAAAAAGCATTCAAATAAACCAAGCCCTGATCCTACAGCACTGATCAGAAGTTAATTTTTGCTCTTTTTTGGTTGTAAAAGCCATGATGTGCCACAATAAATATGTTTCCTGCTTTCTTTATTTACATGCATTTGCCTCAACCCAAGGGAATATCCCCAAATAATAAACAGTGGTAAAAAACTGCAGTCAGCTCAAACAACTGTGATCAGGCGATTATCTAATACTGGTGACACGCCCACTGTTTTCTGTAAACTTGGTTCTATGTGGTCATTTTGATGTCTACTATCTGTCCACCAAGTTTTAGGTAGAAATGTATTCATCTCAATTCAATATCACGTTAAATGAGTCTGTTAATCTTTAGGACGACAGAGGACAGCTGTGTTTGTTGGATGGACTGCTGTTCTTTTGTGCATGCGGGTCAGTTCTGTAGTGTGATCTGTTCAGACTGATGTCAGATATAAGCCACATTAAGAAGATAGCGTTAATGACCAAGGAACAAAATGAGATTTGGGCAGTAAATCTGATTTGGGCCACTTTTACTTACAGTCTGAATGTAGCCTAATTATTATATAGCAATAAAACTGACATCAACATCGGCCAGTGTTCTTGGCCAGCCCATATATCAGCCAAGCCTCCTTCCATGGTGCCTGGCGCACGTGAAGAGACACTTGTGTTTTTGCTTCTCCTCCTCAATCTGGCCCGAAATGTGCCATCAAACCCTCTCAGCATCTCAGCATGCCTCCTCTCAGCTCGAGCGTCACCGCATCACTCCCTCATCGCGGACAGGGGCGGGGGGTGAGGGGGCTAAAACATTTCCTATTCATCACCTCTGAAGGACATCTCTGAAGAAAGACAGTAATACATGTTGCTCGGCTCTTGTGCGTGCGAGTCTCTGCAGCAGGGCTGATTATCATGCTGCCCGTGCTCTGCATCCAGACTGGTGCTGCTCCGCCGTGCGAAGCCAAGTACCCACACGAGTAATAGCCTGGCGCTTCACTCAAATCGATGGTCCTCCCTACAGCCATGCAATTCATTGCGGGGACCAAGACAGCGGCCGTAAAACGGCCCCGGTGGAGCCAGGGCTCGGAGAAACAGCTCCGGGCAGATTTACTGCGCGCTAAAGTGCTGTTATTCATTACGGAATACAGGCAAGAACGAGAGAGAGAGAGAGAGAGAAATTGAAGTGAGACTCTCATCCCCCATCTTTTTCTCTCTCACAGTCAATTCAATTCCATTTCAATCTCGATATGACCTGTTGGCCGGCTCCAAGACAGCATATCACTAGACATGAGGTGGAATGTGGGGTGGGGGGTACCTGAATCTGCTGGACTCCAGGTGGCTGGCACACACCAATGATCCCAGCATGGCAGCGAACAGCGTTTTCTCAGAGCGCTTCTCTTTGTATAGCAACCTGGCAGTCATGATCCGCCAAGCAGTAGCAAATCTACAGAACCCACTGGAAATGACACTCTAGAACTCGCAGCATGCTAACAAGAAGATTTCTCACAGTTTTTTGCAGTGTGGGACATTTAGACCGAATCCCATTTCTTATTTTTACCCCCACCCCATGTTTTTGAGTGTCACCTTGCCCCTTGGAACTGAGTTACGGGGTAGTTCTTGAAATCTTCTCCTCCAAGCACATTCGCCTGTCTGATGCCGTTGCATTAGCGGCGGTTTGAAAAGATGCAGTGGCGCTTCACAGGTCTCGGAGGAAGCCTAGCCTTCGCCCTCCTAGCGCTGGTGGTATTGTGTGGCTGGGGGAGTCCTAACTAGCGGGTGGAATTGGATACGACAAAATTGGGGAGAAAAAAAAAGAACTACATGTTTGTAGAACGAGCTAACATCAGCTAGAGCAGTTAGCCTAGTTAGCAAAAAAGCACTGTCACCAGTGTCATATCCATCTTCTCACCAACCCACCTCACACCTCACCCACCCCCCCACCAAAAGATTTGGCCATTTTTTGGATCTAAACTGGAATTATTAATCATTTAATTATTAATGGTGTTTTCCAGTCAGCTAATTTCCTTTAAACTAAACATTTTGAACAACTGTCTTGCAAACTGTGGTCAGGCATCATTTCATTTCCTAAACATTATCAACCATCAGTGAATCTTTACTAATTTTTCACTGTTATCTAGTTAGCTTGCTCATGCTACTTTGCTAGCTCATAGCTACGGATGTGTACAGGTACTCGACTACTCGGTTGACTGTTCCAGGTTCCAGTATTCAAATACTGAATCATTTGGGTATATTCCATGTTCCATCATTGAAAGTTAACCTACAATTAAGTGAAATAGCAATTTTTTTTAATAGGACTATAAAAATGCACATGTACACGTCTATTATATTACACTTTGCTACAACTAACACCTAAATCAGTTAAATCAATGCAATGCCAAAGATGTGTTGTTAAGGACGTAATACAGAAAGCAGAGATAGTGTAGCTATAACTGTGCTAATCTAGCTGATGTTTGCCAGGTCAAGAAATAATAAAAAGATATTTCTGTTTTCAATGTTACTTTGACAAACTAATATCTTGGTGCATCATCCACCGAGGACAAAAGACCTTAGAAGACAACAGGTCTCCATTAGCGTCTAACGTCGTACCAGTTATCTCTAGTGTTAGCTCATTAGTTCATCTGAAGAAGCAGCTTCCTTTTCTCATCCAAGAAGAAAACCTACAGAGCTTTTGCACTAAACAGATCTGAATGCATAATAGCTCTCGTCCACTGAAAAGTAAATCTGTAAATCTGTAAATCAGACCTTTAGCCTACGTTCACATTACCAGGTTGAAGTGTCACAAATCCGATTTTTTGCCCTAATGTGACTCAGATCTGATGTTTTCAGGTCTGTGTAGACATGCAAATCTGATCTTTTCAAATCCGACCTGAGTCACTTACATATGTGGTCCTAGATCAGATACGTATCCGATTCGTGGCCATGTGACCTTAATGTGACGCTTAGATCGGAATTCATGTGCTTTTTTTCCACTGCGCGTGCGCCATCATTCAGCGTTACCATGGCAACAGTGCCGAACAGAAGTTAAAGCCTGTAAACGGTGGAAAAGCAACACGTCTCACCTTTTTCTCCTTCGTCTCGCTCTAATAATGAAGCTGAGAGCTGATCAGAGTTAATTATCTTCTCAGCGAAGCTCGTTCTGCTCGTTAGTTTGTGCTGATGATGCACGTGATTCATTCACGTGACGTTACTGAGGATGTGCGCATGAGGGTCTTTTCAGGACGCCGGTTCGTTAACATTAATGACAGATTTGAGTCTCTTACCTAAACAAGTGTGAACCATCCTGTCAGAGAGATCGGATTTGAGCAAAAAATTGGATTTAAGAAATGAGGCGTGTAATGTGAGCGTAGCTTTAGTTTCTTTTAAAATCCTTCACATATTGATTCTGGATGAAATTTTAGGCCTAAGTCATGTTCTGCAGCAGGAAAACGGACAGAAAATGATTTTTCTCAAGAGGCTGCCACTTGTGATAAGGAACTAATAAGTTTTTGGTATGTGGAAAAACTCATCACAGGCTTGTTGCACATCACAGCAAGCTACACACCACACATTACACTCAATTTTCAGTATGGCATGCCCTAGTTTTTTTTTTTTAACCATGTAATCACTGAAAAATAAAACCACACAGTCACCCAGTCAAGCATGTATCTGAAGCTTCATACATCGTCCAGATGAACACAACCAACCAGAGTGATCAAAATGTATGATTCAGAGAGAGAGAACAGCCCTGACCTTTTCTCCTGGACTCCCGTTTCACGCTGGCTTTGACGCTTGCTTGTGTTTCTGCCTCTGTCGACATCCTCCTGAGTCCTGGTTCCTCTCAAGTGCATGGAGCTCGTCCTGCATGGATTAGTCCCCTGGAGCTCTATGGTCACTCCTACATCCCGTGCTGCTGCTCCAAGGTTTTCAGCCTGAGGTCCAACAAATGAAAAGAAGGTATCCTCACCAGGGACCTCACGTATACTTCAATCCTGTAGAGTGGACTCCGGAGAGTGCACTCTGCTGCTATCTTTGGCCAACGTTTCACTCTTCACACCAGTCCGACTGGATTCCCCTGATGGCCTTTAGTTCAGGTCCAGCGGCTCCCACCTTGTCACAGAGAGGAACCCGAGCGCTGATTCATCCGGCATCTCAACACCTTTGTTTAGACACTGCGAACAAACAGAAAGATTGCAAAGGAAATGTCGTTACGAATCACGGCAACTTTTGTTCAGGGGTCAGATTGAACCTGAAGCTCTAGGATGACTCAGATTCACTTTTAGCTCTGGAAGTGTACAAAGTGTATTTGGGCCTTGTGAAGCCAAATCAGAAACATCTCCCTCATTTTACATAACTGGTCAGCATCTGGTTGAACCGCACAACACAGCTGGCCCACGTTCTTAACAGTAGTGTGTGTTAATGAAGAAGCATTAACATACGGCTTTTGTTGAGAGGAGCCCACTATCTGTTTTGACTGACTTTTTTCTCACTTAAAAGATGGTTCTTAAAGGGTTCTTTAGTAGAGACAATGGTTCTACATAGAATCCTGAACACGCAAAGAACCATTTGCATGCTTAAATGGTTCTCTGCATGGTGAAATGGTTCGTCGGACTGATGGAGAATGTGTTGTACATGCCTATATAAGAAACTTTTCAAACATAGTTCTACATAGCACCAAAAAGGTTCTGCTATTGTTATGATGTCCAGTATTTATCTGTCTATTACCTACAAACAAAACTGGGCTGTAAAACAAAGCAGTGATTCTTAATATGTAATATGAGATTCTTCCAATCAAACTTCCTGTCTGAATTACAGTAAAACATGGTGCAAGTTTGTTGGTGGTTTCACTGGTGGTGTTGGTGGTTTCGTGGTGTTACCACATATAATTATCCAATTATGAGATTACTATGTTACTATGCACAATCCCATTTCAATCCCAATCCCCTCACCCCTACCACTTAGCCCTTAGCCCCTTTGTTCACACCTATGGGTAAGGTGTCCCGATTTCTGATGAGATGGAGGGGTAGGGCGAAGTGTTAGGGCTACATGGCCCTCCAAACGGAGGTTTTTCAGAGTCACACACCAAACGGAGGCAAGATGGCTGCACAAGTGACCAAAGAAAGCCACAAATGTGAGAATTTTCTCTATTAAAAATATTATAATAACCATTGTATTATTTTAGTTTAATGTTGTTTCAGTGTATCATGGCTCTTTTCTTTATAACAAGCAGAAAAAGCGTGGTAGTACACTAATGTCTCGGTAGCTAACTAGCTAAATTTCCCGTTCCACGTTAAACAGTACCCCTAAACGTAACTAAAGCCCAGCAGTGAGGAGCTGAACTTTACCCTCCTCTGCTATCACTGCAGACTGACAGGTCGCCTACAGAGCAGCGCCAGTAGCTGTTAATGAAGTAGTGCTCTTTTTATTTGAGGGTCCCATTTCATAGGGAAGATTTCAACCACTACCCCTTGTAACTCAGTTCCAAGGGGCAAGGAGACACTCAAAAACAAGGGGTAGGGGTAAAAATAAATGGGATTGGGCCTTGGTTATACAGTCTGGGTCCTTACCATGATTACCTAGTACTTTGGAGGTTACTTACGTTTAAATACTGAACCCCTGCACAGTGAAAAGTACTGTCCTGTCAGCATGCAGGATGGCGCCGCATTCACTGCCGAGCTCTGCTCTTTCTGTTCACCGGGGAGCAAAAGTCCTATAATATATTCTATAGTCCTGTAATAAATATATTCTACAGTGATATAATACATCTCCTATGATAAATTGGGATGTAAACATAATTTGCAGATCCACTGTTTATTTTTATGCAGCGCGTCTAGTTTGTTTGCAGAGAATTACACAAGAGCTTTAGGCTTTATTAGATTTATTAGAGCGTTATGGAGATTTTAAGCTACAAATGTGGATCATTCTGTTCTATTCTGATCTATTCAAATCATGGAAATTGTTCTATTCTATAGATTTTTAACCCATTCCTTCACCTTCCCATGTTAGTCTGGGCAAGAAAGCTGAAAGACATGAGAAGTCTTCAACTCTGGACCTTGAATCTAGTTTCCGGTCCTGGATTCAAGGTCCAGAGTTGAAGACTTCTGGATTAATTGGGTCAGGGTGATGGCAGCTGGAACTGAATTAAAACCCGGGCTGATTTGTGGTCCTAAGTATCGGGGCCACAAAATGTTTAAAAGATGAAATAGGTTTACAACAAAGTATCAAAATCAAAGAGTTTTCAAATAATAATAATGATAAAGACAATTCCTCCTTCGCTCCCCTGTTCTGCTCACTGCAGATGTGTTCAGACAGCCTGAGCAGCAGATAAACAGTGAAAAACAGTCATGTGGAACTATTTCCCCGATTCTATGAAGGACATGACATGCGATTTATAATCTCTATTCATGCTAGGGGTGGGCAATATGGGAAAAAATGATATCACGATACTTCAAGACGTTTTCACGATAAACGATACGCATCAAAATATTTAATTTAGCAAGTTGGAACGGATAAAATGGAACCTTTAGTGCCACATATAAAAATACCACAATACTACTACTACAATAATAATAATAATAATAATAATAATGCTTCAACTACAATGATTTTTATTCAGTGTTACACAAACTGCACTTGTATCGCTGGGTTGACGAATCAGACACTCACCAGATTAACAAAACACAATACATGGGTGACGACGACAACCGAGTCAAACCAAAAAGCAAACACACAGGTAGACTTAGTCAAAGGAACAAATCCGAGAATCAGTAATGAGAAACAAAACAAGGCCATACTCAGGGTAGCTATGGAACAAGAGAAAGGCTTGGTATGCGATGATGGAACAGAGGCGATACTTCACAAAGACAAAGGCGATACTACAAACAGACAGACTTATACACATAGAAACACAGGTGATGATAATCAATACTCAGGTGACTGAGATCTGCTGGTTGGCTTGTGATTGGTTGGTGGAGTCACATGACAAATTGAGAGATTCTGGGAAGTGGAGTCGGCCACGGAATGAGAGTCCAAATGAGAACCGGGAAGCGTGACAGCGCTGCACTAAATCCAGCTAAACGGGCCTAAATATGCTCACTTTCTAATGAAACTGTAGTTAGACAGTGTTCTTAGTTCAGCTAAGTAGTGTAGCAATGTAAATCAATGGAACCAGATAAGACAAGTCATTTTGGGCCATTGCTTTTGGTCCATTCATCATGACATTTGAAGATAATGTAAAGGGAAACAGACATTTTGAAATTATGTCAAAAAATGAAAAACAACAAAAATGGAGATACAAGGTTTTGTTCTGACAGCAGCAATGTAGTGTATATATATATATATGTGTACACACATGTATTTGTCTTCAAGCAAACATCACTGATGGCTCAGTAGATAACAGTACAGCAATATCTTTAATTTCTGTAATCTATTTATCTTGACACTCTTAATGGTCATCATGTCTTTGGGTACCCCTTGTTTTAATGGGGCCCATAGGAAGATCTATGGGTCTACTGAGCCATCAGTGATGCTTGCTTAAAGACCAAAATTCCCTAAATGCGTATCTACCCACACATTATTGCTATTATAAATTCCATTCAGCACACTATATATATGTATTTCCTCATATACGTAGTTTACTCTAAATAGTGTTGTGATTATATTGTAAACCGTGGTAAAAGGTCAGGAAATTATCGTGACATTCATTTTTCTCTCAGCATATGCCTGGTAGGAACTGAACTCCCCAGGGTGTCTCCAGAATTGGGCACCTCTGGTTTAGTGGTTTTGCAGCGTCAAGCATGTGATTTTACTATCCCAGCTAAATATCAGATTCTATGTCAGCTGTCAGGTGTGTGATGACCCTCCAACACCACCGAGCTACTGTAACACCTGCATGTTTGGTTTCTGAAGTGAAGTCAGAATAGACCACACTGCAGCACCAGAGCTCCAGTTGTGATTGGGGTACTAGTGCTGCAAATCCCTTCTGAGCAGAGGCATAAGTCCCCCATCGACAGACCCGCGCAGACCGCCAACGAGGCATTCAAACATCAATGCGGAGGCCTTCTTTGCTGCTGCTGTGGAACTGCTGTAATGTAATTTTCATTAGTGCAGAGGCTCCCTGCGTTCGGCGGAAGAATGATTTAATGCGATGTACGACTGCTCTTCAAACCGGTGCTAACTAGGTCAGCATCGTGCCCAATCTGCTCCGTGTTTTAACAGCTCCAGTGTTTCCGCTGATTTGGGTCAGAGCTAACGAGCGCCTTCCCTCTCCTTCTCCTTCTCTGTGTGTTTTTTCCTCCTCTCTTTTTTCCACAGCATCAGCTTCTGAGCCGCCTGTCAAAGACCTCAAAAGACTCAGGATCCTGTTTGTTTACTCAATCACATACGGCCTTCTTCATCTTATTAAGGAGGCTGAAGTCGAGGCAGCCGTGATTTCACTGAGCACGGAGGTGGGGGTGCCAAAATCTTTTCTAGAGGGATGCGCTCGCGCTTGAAATGCGCATCCCACCCGAACTGTCTGTCAATTTACCACCGTGAGCAAAGTGTGATAATGTAATGACAGCTGCTTTCGCGTCGTGTGCAGGAGAGGTTTAGTAAAAAGAAGAGTGAGGCAGTGGCCTAGTTTGCATGGCTCAAGAGAGAGCACCCATGGGACACGGATTTACGTTCCTGTCAGGGAAAATCTGTGTTAGCTCATGCGCCGCGATCCGGATCGCTCCTTTACAAGAGAAATCAACGTCACTTTGTTCAGCAGGACACAAAGTCACGCAGGATTTCGCTCTCCTTTCGAGACGGCCTTCAAACGTGTCGGAGGCTGAATTGGAATTTTATTTGTAAAAGTAAAAAAAAATCAAGGACTACTTTTAGTTTTAGGCTTTCCATCAAAAGCTAAACAGAATTCAATGATGTCTATGCACAGATGTGAAAAGGTCTGGGAGGTTTTCCTGCCATTTCTATGCACTGATGTAGCTATGGCTGCATGTGCAGTCTTAAAAACAAAAGTTCCTTTGTCGTATTTTTCATTTCATAATGCGCCAAATGTTTGCAGTGGTGACAGGTCTGGACTGCAGGCAGGTCAGTTTAGTGCCTGGACTCTTTAAATAAGCTGAAATAAGCAAGGCCTTCCCTGAAAAAGACGTTGTCTGGATGGCAGCATATGTTGCCAAAACATGTA